GTCTCATAAGATCGTTCCGATCATATTTCCCGACCAGAACATTTGGAGGCGGGTCACCATTATTCCATAGTTGAGACAAATAGTGATGAGAAATATGTCCGAGGCTTCAGCTTCTCTCGTTTTTGTTTCATTGAAGTTTATCCCTCGGTGTGAGTGCTCGATTTTCGTTTGCTCTAGGCTACGTTCAACTTACAGGAAAGACCAGAATAAAGCTCAGGTCCAAGTACGATCTCCATACGTTTGATACCTTTGGACTGATCGTCCACATGCCGGTAAAAACGCCGTTCACTTAGGCAGAACCAAAATTAACTTCCTCGAAACGATGACATTTTCTATATCCACTTTTTTGACATCAGTTTGTTCAAGTGGGTGAATTGAAAAAGGGCTTGCTAATCTTAGCTACCTATGCCAGAACCCGAATGAAGATCAATGCATTGCTCTTGTCTAACGAGGAAGAAGACTTTACAACTCAGTAACAAATCGTCAAACGCGGCTGTTTACACACAATTTGTGCGTGAGACTATGATCACCCGGTTCACCGAGTCACATAAAGTAGGCCAGAACTGATTATTGAAAAATTCTTTGTTGTGAAGTTATATGTAGGTTTGAGCAGATATAACATGCTTATGATGGCTGTAGTTCACGAGGCAGTACTTGGTAAATCTGGCCAGAAAGCTATGTAGTGTTACGTGTTGGTTTTTCTTCTGTTCGGTGTTTATCCTGCCAATATCTTTGTTTCGCTGATGAGTCAGTTGATTAGATATGTTGTTTTGCGTTGTCAAAGTGTGACAAGACGGCATCCGGAGTGATAACGTTAGTAGGGCGGTGTTGTGCGCACGAAACTCAGCGTCCCCATTTACTAAGATGCCTTAGTGGATAACCACCATAATAAACAAAACTATAAGCTCAGACAGTTGATGCTCATCAGTTGTATGAACGGGGATTAACTTTCTGTTTCATATACTCGACGAACAGACCTAATTCGGCCGCATGGACAGCTACAGAAGACGAGATATTAAATCAGTGTCATTTAACAAAATCCAACGCCAGTCAAGTGCTCTCTTAACATCACATTTCGATAACGTAGTTTGTTGCAAAATGTTGGCGTGGATGCGAAAATGAGAGAAAATCCAGACTAACCGACATCGTATCCGACGCCACCAGGGACGATAGTCTGCCGAGCAACCTTCACGAACAAACACAATTGTGATTGTGATGGTTGGAAAGCCGAATAGCTTCGGCAAAATGTTGATAATTCAAGACGGTCATGGGGCCTCTTAACAATGCCAATCAACGCCGAATTTCTATGTAAAGCTTTCCCTCTGGCACTCAGGGTTCTGGTATATGTCCAACACATGTCTAGACACGTATGCACCTGGGCCGGTACGAACCACGAGTTCGATTTTCCCTTAACTCAGATACGACGGCCCCGCTGCAACTGATTCAGGCAGTCCAAGCGCGCTGTGTCTGAACTCGTCTCTGGGTTTTGGCACAGACGGACGGTATGGTAAGCTAGCAACAAGTGCGCACTGACGGTACCGAATTAAGTCCGCCAACCAGGAGATCAATAGCTTTCGCTAGGCTGCACGCGCAGCCAAAACGACGGCGGACGGCCAATCGTCATAATGGCACGGGAAAAAAGGAAAATCTCCGTTCAACTTGTAAGCATTCCCGATAGCACGTGTCAAATAACCCTGCCGATTGCAGCTTCAGTGGGAACCTTCAGTTGAAGCGCAGCATAATTCAGCAGTAGTAAATCGAGACAATACGGGGCACATAATGTACAGTGGAAAATTTCAGGCACTTCCGGAATGCCATAAATGTCGTTTGCCGGCTTCAAAGAATTATTTGAAAGTATCGTTTAACTAGTCTAGACCCAAACTCTCGTGAAATTAGCCTAATTGTTGATGACTGTCACTGAACAATGAGGCGATCGTCGTACCGTAATTTATTCGAAAAAAACATTATCAGAGGGATTTCCGCTATGTTTCGCTCTACTCTTCAGCCCATGCGTTTTATTCTGCTACGCTATCAGACTCAAGACAATAACGAATGAAGCTTCGATCTCCTGGCTTCGGTCATTCTCATCCGATCCTATGGCGAGGGCTTGTGTGCTTTCAGACTTAACAATTTAAACAGAATTCCACGTCACATACACAAGCAAAACAAACTAGTATTTCGTCAGTTTTTAATGACGATTGATCCCGTCAGATGATTATTAGGTAGCTTGTTTGGCTTCCAAACTCAAATCCTCTTACTGTTTACTGAAAGTTTTCAACAAAGGGTTTAACTATTGGTTACTTTTAAGCAGTGAGTGTAAATTATTCTTCGAAGCTGAGAGACCGCATTTGAGGTATACTGAAAGAGCCTGGAATTCCTATTGCCGAAAAGTGTGTATCATGTGTCTCGGATTGTCGGAGGTGATTGCTAAATTATGCCGCAGCTCAACTGAAGGTTTCCCTTGAGACTGAAATCGACAGGTTTGTCTGACTTATGCAGGTGGTTTGCCTGTGTCACATCCCTGAGACTGGCCAAGATAGTGTACGTGTTGGATCGCCTGGGTCAGTTGCGGTGGTGCGTTGACGTACTCCGGGTGACAGGAGGATTGAACTCGTGGTTTGCACTGGCCTGCCACTCATCCATGTACCCAAGGAGGGAGCAGAATCGGTAGCCCCCATTGTAGCAGTACCATGCAAATGCAGAAGACATATACAGGTCTGCAACTTGCTGATTAGATGACTTGGAAACTGTGCTAACGGATGAGAGTATGCGAGAGTGCGCAATGCGCGGCCTTCTGTATACGAACGATCAGTCCAAAGATGTCGAGCGAACGGTATATTTTGCAACAGATGATAGATGAAACTGGTAACCTGCTTTTATTCAGCTAATAGTCGCATGCTTGCGATGTCTATGCGAAACGTTCTTAATGTTGACCGAAAAATAATCAACAAAAATTCATTGAGCTGATATAAATTTGTCCTGCTAATATCTCTGTTCGCTTTGGTTCCACAGACGGGTGAGCTTTTCGTCTTTAAAATTTGGCACTTATATTTATCTTTACTTTTTGCAGTCAGCAACTATCCTTCGGTGTTTGAGGACCCAAATTAAAAAACCCGTTTTTGTATTCCTACCCAACATAGTTTTGTGGTGGGTACGGCTTAGACACCCCGTTTTCCGGGATCGCCAGAGTCAGGATGTTCTCGATAGCATCACCCTCTAACCACTCGTGAGTAGCCAGAAATCAATGTCACAGTGTCTGTTGTGTGGATTCGCGGGCCACTTTCCTGACTTGAAGGCCTGTATCCACATCTGCACTAGGGGTCCGTTTGATTTCAATTTTTGCTAGTGGCACTTCGTCATATACTGTGTATTTGGAACTTCGTTTTAGAATTAATAAAATCCAGTGAGTTCTCTTGAATAACACTGCGTTTTGTTGAATTTTAGTTGGAAATATTTTATGGAATCATTTTTTTCGGTTTTTCCTTGAATATGTCTAATTTGTACGCGACATACTAGCCGCCTCATGGTGCCACTTCGTTAGGTAAGCGTTTTTAGCGTAGTGTCGACTGTAAAATTGCTCACGTTGCTTGAGTCAGCTTGAAGGAAACCTCGGAGTGAAACGCGAGATACCATCAGTTGGAGCTATTATCAAACACCGACTCATACCGGAAAGGACAGTAAAACTAAGTAGTAGTTGATTTTCTTTGATGGCGACGAAACATGAAATCCAGTAAAACACACTCTTCATTTCGTGTGCCTTTGGAGTGATTCCAATCAGTGAATCGCTGGGTGCAAGATGGCATACAGCTCTTTGAAATTCCAACTAAATGGCTCGATGGGTGTATCCTATTTAGTGCGATCGATGCACTTAGCTAGTTGATACTCAAAAGATCAGCTGCGTACTTCATACTCCGAGAGTCAGTGTTCCAACCAAACTTTACACATCTTTGGTAGATTTGGCTCGTGAAGAGTGAAGACTATATTTCTTTTATACTTCCTGATTGCGTTTTGTAAACCACTGGGGAATCAATCGAAGACGAAATGATGTATCCTTCATTTTCCGTAACCATCAGAGTCGGGACTGTTGTGTACTGAAAAACAGATTTTGCTGGTCGATGCATCCGCGGTAACGAGATTCGAGTTCGATTTCAATTAGTTCTCCAATCTCACCCATTAACTTATATGTATGAAGGACGCTCCAAGCTGCATTTTTGAAGAGCGCTATCAATGGAGACTTCTAGCATCAGCGTACTCATCATGTTAGTGAAACGACCCCGAATTATTTCGATCTGCGAGACGTTGAGAACAGATCCCACCGATTTAACGGGCGGTTTCCGCTTGCCACTGCGTTCTGCTTGCGTATTTAGATTACGTTGACATGGGACAAAAACGTGTTTTGACTTGCACGTCATGACTACTCTTAATTTTTATATTCGTTGATTTGCCATTCTCTGAATTTCCCAGTTTACTTAGCTTGTTTGCTGATTGGTTATATTATTACACAACCTGATTCATTTTAGGGCACCGCAGTTATATTGTCCAACCGGCCTGTATTTATCCGGCATCAGAGTTGAGAATTGGAAATTTCAATGGAAATTTCGGCTTGTAAGTGGATCTAGTCTATACCAAAATACGAAGAAGCAATACAGATAAAGGATAATTCACACAACGGGTGAGCCTTCCATCTGAGAAGTCGTTACTCAAGGAGCCTGTCAACACGTGACCACATGGTCTGAATCCCGTGATTGAGAAATGAGTTGCACTGCATCCTGTATAAGGACGCGTTGTGTTTATCTTGTTGCTGCTCAATCATTTTCTCAATTGGCTTAGGGTATTTCACACTCATTCCGCACCCTTCCTCCTTTCAGCTCTAAAAAAGCGTTCTCCTCTCAGGATTGTGCTTGTTAGGCACCTTGATGTATTGATGACGCTTATGCGAAGTGACACTGCCAGAAAAGCCTTGGATCTGGTTTGCAGTAATTTTAATCTGTTTTGAAAGGGAGAGGAGAGCTGCGTGTTCTTCTGTTGCCAGATCAGTGAGCTGTTTCTACACGCCACATCCGTGCTTCGTCATCAGTCACCGGTCTGGACACTTTTCTATCCAGTCCTGTTCGGTTACCTATTGTGTGTGTGTTTATTCTAGTAACAGACTAAGCCCAATACCACACGTATCATTTTGATGCCAACTCATACACTTACGCGAATTCAGCTGGTAAAAGCCCATCTTGCGATTTGTGCTTAGCTATAATTTAACACAAACTGGGATTGTTTTTCTCTGTTGTCCACTGTTCACAGGAATCCAGCTACTCCATCCGTGCGAACACTCTTGGCTCGGACAAATGGACTTCAGCCGGTACGTCCAACATCCATAACTAGAGTCTGTCGTAAATCAACTAATAATCGTTCAGCTGTAACTCTTTCGGAAGGAGGAACCACGAGGGCTGTAAAATTTTCTGGTTGTCCAAGCCTAAACAAGGGCAGTCGAGATGTCAGCGTTAGATGCGAACCACAGATCTTCCGGTCAGTAAGCTCCACGTTAACCACTGAGCTATATATAGTCAGTTCTGTGTAATTATACTCCCAATCATGACGCTTTTGTTTTTATTCAGGTTCGTTTGATCGATATGCTCTAAGAGAAAAGAAAACAATAAACATGACGTCGTCCGAAAAAATATGTTTTCCTTCTATGATTCTACATTCATTCGCGCAACACACCCTCTTATCTTGGTGTAATTAGCGTTATTGATGACGTTTGGGCATTGGGACTAAGAAGTGACACCGAATTTGAGGAGAGCGCCCACAGAAATTTTCTGGCAGAGCTTGGTGAGGATTTTCGGAGCAGAACATACGATCAGCAATGCTGTTTGAATCCTAAACAAGTTAGGGAACCCCAAGATTACGGAGTTGTTTCCTCGCTTGAATTCACAGTCGCGTTCATCTCAGACACGCACGATTTCACTAGACAGGTAATAATAAAATCATTTCCGAGTAATCCAAACACATCCGGACTCATGGAAACCGTAAAGTCGTATGATTTGTTGGACTGGATACGTAATTCAACTTCGATAAACAAATGCCGTTCGTTAGTATCCGACATAAATTGGCCTGTCCAACACATCTGTCCATCAATAACTCAACAGGTTTCCGATATCAGTATCAATCACTGAAGCAATAGTATTGCATAAGCACTGCACTGTACTGTCAGTTCTTAACCTCAAACTGTAGATTTGCTAGATAGACGACAACCGTCATTGTGACGTAGAATTTAATAGAAAATGCCAATGCACTGCTCAGCTATACAGTTGGAGCTATCGAATTCCTAGCCGAACGGGAACCGAACAAAATGACTAACATTGTAAGCTGTTTTGATTAGCAGGAGGAAGGCGCATACGGACCGGTATAGTAGAATCATCATAACACATTCGAAGGAACACAACAGCTGTACCAAAACAAGAACAAATAGCCAGTTTGACACCACATGTTCCAATTCCCATCAGAAAAGAATCCAAGTGGCTTGAGGTACTTTACGGAGCGTAACTTCCAGGTCAAAAGATAATATTGACGAAACAGCAGATATGCCGAATGAAATACAGCTATACAAATTAGGAGGAAATTACCAATTCCTTTACCACGTGGTATGATGTACTATCCTTGATCTCAATAGATGAAGATCGAGAGTGCTACGGATCTGGATCACTAGACCATGAGATAGAGCGTGACGTGATCAAGTTCCACAGGAATCCCCGTGAAGTTACATTAGTAAAGGTCGGATCTTCGAATACTGAGAGGTCTAGGACAGAGCTCACCGACCATGCGATGGATGCTGGGAAGACCAAGCTCAATCGTCACACAGACGTCAACCAATCATAACACAGGCTAATGGAACAACCAACAGAAACTCCCTAGTCCTAGAGATTGCCCCGCATATGGCGAGGTTCCTCAATATTATTGTGTTGTACCTGCATAGGACCATTATTTTGGGGAAGGAATGAAATTTGTTTTGTTCTCGCAGTCGTCTACTCTTGATTTTGCGTTTAGTTGTACCATTTCATTTCAATAAAAATGAAACGTTTTACGAAATGTTATACTTACACCAAGCCTTCTGTACATTTTAGCCCCACGCCCTGCGACAATCGGACAGGCCTCTAGTCGGAAGCCAGGCAATGGGACAGTGACGCCTAACAGAACCACTGCTTGGGGCTCGTTACGAGCGATTAATTCGGCCAGCCACGATTATCAGAATGTCGAACCCACACTTCGTGCTCATGACGACCTTTCTATGGACAAAACTCGTACGCAGCATGGTTCTTTAGGCAGACGAGAACATAAATCAAATGATGCCCTAGTAAATGAATCACTGGACTTGGAGTTGCTGTGGTCCGACCACGGGCGCTTGCAGCAAGCAAGCGTTTTGCACGAGTTTCGAGCCAAAAGACCGGATGAGCTGGATCTAGTGATGCACGAGACGGTGGTTTTGCTGGACCCTGCTGGATCAAGTGGTTGGGTTAAGGTACGTCTCCCTCTTATCCTCAAAGATCACACTCCTATTGTTTCCACAATTGGTGGAAAACAATCTTTTTAGCACTTTGTCACGCGGTCGCGTTGAACTGTGGGAAACCCGAAGTCCCCCAATACGCGGTATGACTTCGCGAAAGCGTTCCCGTCTTCCCATTAGCTAGGCTGATTTCCAATAGTCGCCGACTGCTATTTTTATCCCTAACTTCATAATTAATTCCAGGTTCGTAGCCTCATCGACGGTAACGAAGGTTTGGTCCCCCTCAACTATCTCCGGTTGCATCAGCCCCAAATCAGATCAAGATCGCAGCTTGAGACAGACAACGAAGATGAAGTCGAGGCGAGTCAACTGGATGACAAAGCAGTGCCGAATACTTCGACCGCAGCAGATATGCCACCTAAGATAGCAAATGCTTCACCGTACGAGAATATAGTCGCTGCACCACCCCATGTAGAGGAAGAGGTGATCAAGCATTCAAAGTCTCACCTACCTAGCTACGGGACAAAAAGAAATTCCGGGCTTCATCAGAATAGTATCCCAACGGCATCGAGCGACCAATTCCAGTCGATAAACGCTGGTCACGGTACACTACCGAGTAAGCACCTTTAAACCACTGCATACTAGCTGTGAGAACTTTGGACCTTGTGTTCATCAGAAACGAGGTGGTCCCGTAAGCACCCATTATAAATATAAACATAAATATCTCCTGTAACCTTTATTTTATCTTCCCATTTTCGCCTGATATCAGCCACTCCTGCAACGCCGGATGTCAAAAAGCCGGGAAAACACCTCCCCATTCCAGGCAGCTTTGTGCGTACGCTAATAGAATTCGAAGGAAACCACCCGGACGAACTGCATTTCTCTCCCGGTTCGGTCATACGCGTACTCGGTCGAGCTCCTGTCCCGGATGGCGCAACCGATACATCAAGTCCCGATGAGCTATCTCCCTTGAATCGGTTAAATAATTCCATCACTTCCGGTGTTGATGACGGTTGGTGGGAAGGTGAACTATTGGTCCCCTCTTCAAATTCCGCGGCTACTCAACAGTACACGCGAATACGAGGCGTATTCCCCTCGATGCTGATCCACCCCATGTCCTCTGAAGATGCTGAGCCCTGGGAGTTGGTTTGGAAAAATAGTGTACCGAACCAGCCAGAGCTGAATGGTAATGAGTGTAAGCTGTAACCGTATCTTGAAGGACATTTACATCCACTGGAATATGTTTTACTTCGCATTTTTGTCGATGATCCCTGTCCACTCTGTCATTCGAAGTGGCTGCTTGTTTATCTTGACGTATATGATGCCTTCGTCGTGGCCCTAATAGGCACCAGACAGTGGTCTCCAGAACAACACTTATAAGATAGAATCTTTGATGAACTGCATTCTGGAGACTGATCGTCGTGTAAATCAACTTCTGCACTGTGTATTCCATCTGACTCCCCCCAATTTTAGCTCAGGTTAAGCCCAGAAAAATACTCAATGGAATTTGAGGTCGGTGGTCCAAACAATACGATTAAGCTGTGGGTTGCTGATTAGCTAGTAGTTAACTCGTAGTAAAACTTTGACTGCACAGGTCCAGTTCATACGTCACTCCTGAATATCTCCCCATGTAATAGCCTCTCAGCGGACGCCTAGGTGACCTTGGGCTATTTTCCCTTGTGTGCGGATTGCTTATATTAGCCAACATGTTGGTCGCTCGGGTACATTATGGACAGGGCAACAATCTTTCGGTCATAGCGTAGGAATCTGTAACACGTGTGTGCACAGTTCGTTAAACGGACAACACTGTTTAAACGGATAAAACTCCCAGAGTTGTTCGCCGTCAGCCATTTGACGACTACTGGCGCTCTTGGACCATGCACTAAAAATCCTCAGAAAGAATACTTGTAGTGCTGAGGCCAACTTCAGCATAATTACTCCGCGGAGAAAGGGGCTAGACGAAATCGAGACCTGCGCCTCATTTGATACTATCCACGTTGGTACATGCGGTCTGCCAGGATTTGGAGCGGAAGACTCATGGAAGCGATGGGTGGAGACACTCAATGATATGACCAAACTATGAAACCAGTGGTGCTCGTTTATCCGCTGACTAGCCTGCACTTAAACTTGTCCTTCTTGTTCCGGTTCTAATACTTTCCTCATCTTTGTATCATTGCTGTTATCTTTGAGCGACCAAACAGTTCAATGTTACTACGTTCTCATTGCCAAAGGTTTCTCATTGGAATTTTTCGGAATGGCATGAAAGGTTTCCTGGTGTCTCAGTATAAGTTGGAAGATGGCTCAATACCAAGTCAGTTTTCTTATGGGGTGTTCTCACAATTTCTTGAAGTGAAGCATAGGATGTTATGCTCACGTCTGAACCACTGAAATGAACTGTCAGGTCAGTGTTCTCATCCTACCTGATTTCGCGTAACTTCTTTCTTGGAATAAGTGCGCTGCAACAACAGAAAAACCTATCTAGATAAGAACTTGTCACTCGGTGAACCTCCCTGCGGGTCCCAATCAAGGTGCGGGAATCCATCACTCAAGCTCGCCATGACTTTTCGTAGAAATTCAACTGGCAACTCGGTTTCATTTATTGAATATATCAATTCGTATCATAAGTACCACGGCGGTGAAGGACTGCTCAGAAAATCCACTATAAATTCCGAACTTTTCGAACCTGCACCATGGATTTAGACTTTTTGAGATCGCAATAATTTACTGGACTGCAATCGCCCGCCTGGAGCGGCGACCGTCAGTCATCAATGTAACTGTTTAGAGAACAAAGTTTTCATGGTGCCATGCGATACAGTGACTGGAATTTTGACAACAAGCCGAATGCATCGCACTGTGCGTACTTTTGCACGGGATGATCGTCCTCTACAAGAATAGCTTGACTTTGAGAGGGGTAAGAAACACAGGTCAGATTTAGCATGCGGATACAAAACGGCGTTTTACACGAAGCTAATATGGATGAACAATCAAAGTTGATGTCTAGGCTTTATCATTTGATCTATGTTCTACACATCCTCACAGAAGTTGGGCTCGAAGGTATACTGAAAAATTCTCTCTCCCTCATCATAGGCGATGCCAACTCGGATCAAAAGACACTATCATCAGGCCTTCAAACCGAACGCACAGACCAGGACGATACGATACGGTGCACACTGATAACAACGCCCGTATCGAAAACTGATCGACCAGATACCTCGCATTCTGATGGAGATTATATACAACTGAAGAGTGAACAGCTTATCAATTCCAGACCGGTAGAGCATGGACATTCCCCACAAATCCTAACGCGAGCGATGTTGCAACAAGCAGCAAATGACGAACTCGAAGACGAAGTAAGAACCAGTATCATTTTCAGACGAATTCACATCAGAATTCGAATGTCGTTACCGTGGACTTAGTTAACCAGGTATAGTCGCTCACCTTCCAAGTGGGACGTTTGTGCCAAGATGGGTTCCCTAGCACAAGTCGTTGGGAAAGTGCCGGTGTGATTGAGCGAATTAATTCCACCTGCTAATTGAAATAACCTGGAAATGTTCACAATTTAGTTCAGGGCTAATTACATCCGTTCAATGGCTCATGGACCTTATATAAAGACAGTCATGCTAAAACAGACACCCGACAGTTAGGATACCAGGTGACTGGCTTGAACACCAGATAGTCACGATACCTTACCGTTGAAAGCAACAACCACGTCGAACACCTCTCTGCTCTCGCGATTTATCGAGATTGGCAACTTTGGGACAGGATTCGTCACTTTAAGCACGATCAGTGAGTGCGTTTCAACCGACACCTCAGCCAGGTCTACCACATCGAATAAGGAATTCATGGATCGCTTCACCTCGCGTGTTCCTGACTGGTCAAATTAGCCCACGTGAATTTTGTCAATAGTTCGTAACTTGCTGTGATTACTTTAATTTCAGTGAATATCTAATGCCACCAAAAATAATCGGCATGGACGTGTGCGGTGTGATATTTTCCCTCCCGTACAGTTAAATTGCATCGCGAGGGTAAACTCGAACCTTGTTCTCCATGGCGATGTCGTTGTAAGGTTACTCAGTTTTCTGCTACACTTAGATATGCAACTGTTGAAAATGAGATTCAATTTTTTGGTTGAAGTGGAGGGTCAATTCAGGAACACTACTTGACTACGATTTCCTCAAAACCCCTTGTGAGGGTCAGTTGTTACTAGTAGTGTCAGTTTGTTGGAGTGACTGCTATACTCCTATTCAAGAAGATCCCCCAAAAATACATTTGTCGCTCGGCGGTTTGACCAAGTTTACTTGTCTCAAGGAACATAGCATATATGTTTGTAACGCGTGTAAAGATGCGACAGGCTTGTTTTGATCGCTTTTGAGCCACGAAGGCACCAACGGTTAGACTGCCGTCTAATGGGTAGATATGCTCCATAATCTTTAAGTGATGTCAGCGTCTAGTGCCTGTCAACTCGTCAGGTCAACCGGTGAATAAATCCGATTTCAGCACCACACCTCACAAAGGGTTTAAAAACCAAAGGGCATAGTCTGCATCAGTAGGCATTACTCAGAATGATTGCTTGTGAACCTTAGCATACCAACCAGAATGAACTACTCCGTCTACCATTACAACTCTCCCCACAGCTTCCAATTGCCGAGGTCTAATTCCGGAAATTTTAACTCAACTGAAAGTGAGCCACCTTCTCTGATTCCCCTTAGGACCTACGAAACCCCCATAGTAGTTGGTGCCTGTTCTCCATCTATCATTTTCCAAAGGTGATCATGTACAGTTACCCCTCTCCATCGTTTCCATCCTCCATCCATTAAATTGCCAACCCAAAACGACCAAGCGCCCTCTCTATCCTCTGTTCTATGGTTTATAACCATCGCTTGTATTGCTTTTCGTGTACTCATTTCCGTTACATTAGGGATAAAGTTATCCCCCCTGTTCTGTTACCTATTTTGGCATACCTCAATGCGCCATTGAGCGCGATCTGGGACACGTTATTCAACACGTTTTTTTCCCATTTCTCAACATTATGTATCGTCACTATATGCGGAGCAATCAAATACATAAATATATCGTCATTTTTTTTTCGCTTCGGTACGACAGACTGCCGACCATTCTCCTAGAGATTAGTCTATATCAGGCCCAAGACGGCTTAATAATCCCCTGTTGTGAAGCATAGACAACATCCTTTCCACTCGCTCTTGTCGATTTCGAAGGTGCTACACTTATGCGCTTGTTGCACGCCGAATGTACATTATCAGGGTTTTCTTGATGGGTGGTACGTGGAGCAAATAACTACACTGAACTTAGTGACATATGTGGGATATTCAAGGTTTTAGTGGACGGCGAAGTGATCACGTAGCTGGTCAGCATTCGGTTCCAAATAAGTGCTTACCAACCACTCCGACAAGTGGCTTAAATCAAGCAAGCTGAACAGCATGTCTGAAAGACAACGTTCTCGAAAAACCACTTAACTTTTAAGGCCCAATGCCAGGTTTCACGTGAAATATTGGATTTGAATATGACCAGTCTAGGGTAGATTATATCCGATCGGGTACATGCTAGCAGGGACGACGGTTCACCGGTTAGAACGCGAATTTACTGACCGCAAGGTCCGTAGTTCGAACCCGACCTTTGCCTCTCGATTTCCCCTGACTCGGCTTGGGCAACCTGGTAGTAGCCCAGTCCTCATGCTTCCTTCTAGTGGCGCGGCAGTTAGGCACCGAAAGGTGTTTCAGCCGAACGTTTTTTTCGGAGTTATCTCCAGAATAAGAGGTTCGGTGGTGCCGGCGGGATGCACGCGCCCAACTCTGACCAATTCGAAAGCGGTAACCGGAAAAAAGTGAAGTAGAAGCACTGCGTTAGTGTCCACTGATAATTATATTTATCAGTTGTCATAAATAGTGCTGCCAGTTAAACATCTGGGTTCGATGGAGCACAGATTCAAGGCTGCGATCTCCTGACCTGAAGATTTAAGGTTCGACTGAACTCGATTAGTCCTGAACAGCATATCAGCGGATCGGTGTACCCAAGGGTTTCAAAGTTACACTTAACGAAGGAAACAAACTGGGCTTCTTGAAATAGAGAGGGTAAAATGGGGTCATTGAAACCGCCTATCTAATTGTAACACAACACAGTTTGTCTCCGTTGCATGGCTACCCTCACGAGGGCTTTTGTATGACGTCTACGGCCAAGCCCTCACCCGTTCGACTTCCGTCGCAGATGATTCGACGGTGCTGTCGAAGGGCGTTTCTATATGTAGGTATGTAGTTGCCGTGATTTACTCGCCTCTAGAAACTGAGTGAGCTAGTTCAGACGTAGGAGTTCTCAGTTTTGTAGAGCATAAGGGGAAAGAATAATGAACAAACTTCACAATAAGCCAGCTAATTGGGCGAATCAATCCGAAAAATGGCTTCCGAAACTGTGAAAGCTTCAATGAGGATGACCTCAAATTCAGCATCGAGAAGTGTATACAAGTGAACAAACCAGGTACCAATGTCGTATCATTTTACAGTGGAACAGCCTATCTAGTACTTGGTATGTATCAAACAGACAATTTTATTGGTATTCTTTTCCTGTCTCAGTTATACAGAATGTGTCAATATAACGGGAAAGGGACTTCCTCAAAGACGCTGCTCGTTATAATCTCACTTTCAAGTTTTGTGGAAAACGAACGTGAGGTTGTACTAGTGGGCCGTTTCACGATCAGGGCATATACCGAAGACTTGACGTACGGCTAGTTAGGCCAGAAGCATGCCACTAGACGTGTGGAATGCGTCCGAAATGCATGATGGCTGCATATGGTCAACTATTCACACACTGCACGGGTGGGCTTGCCGCAACAGGTGTTTCTGGAAAGCCCATTGCGGCTAAGGTACTCGTAAGCTTGCTCCTCCATTCACCAGTGATTTTTATAATAATCTGCCGAAACTCAAATAAGCATTCGAATACAATCGCTCACAAAATTTGTCCATAGGCGGACGGGAATCAGCCCGGATTTTTAGTGTTTCTTTATGTTGTCAACATTCCAGTTAATGGCTTTGCGCCTGATGGAACCTTGACAACAATGGTGTGGCTACTTGAAGAATTTTGTAGACCACGCTAGTTGATCTCTCTTGTTTTTTTCATCGCTGACGCGACAAAACTCGAGTCGAATCAAATACGCATCAGTTCTGTTCAACCGATTTATCAGCTCACAAGTCTTGCGCCGAAGTGCAGTGGTTCGAGCTGCTACAGCTTACCCCATCTTTATTCGACATGAAGCTGGGTGACGACCATTGTTGGTCACCGTTCCAGGTGGCGGAGTTGCGGTACTTGCCTCAGGGTAAAGATATGGTCGATGCAATCCCTGTCAGGGGGAAATCTAGCTTGCGTCTCGCGAATCTGACTCTATCGATGACCGATCACCCTGAGTACGATAACGCCAGAGGGCACCTTGGAAACTATTGCCCAAAAACTGATGCCTCGGTGCTTTTTATACCTTTTTTGATTATGAGAACCACCGTGGACGCGCTCCATTCCCTATTCATAACACTTTGGAGTAGGTCGTCAGGTCGGCCGACACGGACTCGCCAACTTCTGAAGAACGTGGTTAGCTAACTGCCTTGGTTATGTACTATTTTGCGCTGAAGCAATGAAATTGCACCCTGCATCTCCGTCGACGATTTCGGACTGGTATCCACGTCCCACTCGAGTTCATTTGGTCCTTCCAGAGTTGGGATTTGACGGGGACCGACTGGACCGTCTTTCAACTTGTTCAGTCCATCATTCGAAACGACGTTTGTTGATGAATTATAGTCCCATCTTTTGGAGATCGTTCTACTGACACCCGTCCTCCTTGGACCAGTTGATTAGATTAGCTGAAACAGGGTGTTCCAAGGTTGCCCACCTCGACCCGACCGGAAGTTGTTACATTATCGTAGTGGCCAGGCTCTGTGCTGTAGGGATCCTGCAGGCTACACTGACTGGAATTCGGTTGCTAAAGGTTTAACAATCCCAGGGAGGTCTGGAGCAGCCCGACGAAGAACAACAAGTCTTCCACAGCGCGAAATCGTATTACGATATGGTCTGGAGATAAACTCCAATGTGTGTGTGAGGGCAATCAAGTGTTTCCTTCCAGCGTGTCCATATTTATGAATATGCTTTTGAAACTAGAGTCCGGTGCTCATCATCATCATCCATCATGACAGCAACATCAGTGTTGGCACTGATGCTTCACTGCCGTACAACCATAAAGTTCGTTTAGTTATATATATATATATAT